CATGGACTTTGAAGGAGAAAGGCAAGTCACAGTAATGAAGGAAGTAGTAGTCATAGCGGGTTCAACAACCGCAAGCCACCAAGATTGGAGAAGCCAGGTGTTCGGATTCCTGGAGAACAATAAGATACCGGAGGATGCTGCAGCGGCCAAGGCTTTACGTCGGAAGGCCACACGGTACACGGTCGTGGGAGGAGAGTTATACAAACGTTCCTTTACGGGCATCTATTTGAAGTGTCTAGGAACTGAGGAAGCAGAGGAAGCTCTTAAAATGATCCATATGGGAACTTGCGCCACCCATGTCGGTCCCAGAAGCCTCGAGAGAGCAGTCCTCTTGCAGGGATATTACTGGCCTACGGTGAAGAAAGACGCCCTAAAAATGGTCCGTGAATGTCACGCATGCCAAGCACATGCAGATACGCATCACCAACCCGCGTCCGAGATGAAAGGGATTGTAAGTCCTTGGCCTTTCGCGAAATGGGGTTTGGACCTTCTAGGACCTTTCCCCAACGCGCCGCTGGGAAAAAAGTACTTGGTAGTAGCCGTTGACTACTTCACCAAGTGGATAGAGGCCGAGCCTCTAGAAGCCATTACCAGCTCAACATGACAGAGGAAAGGCGGGAAGCAGCTCTAACTCGCACGATCGCGGAGAAGGAAAGTGTGGCAAGGACGTTCAATAGCAAAGTACGTCTGCGACCATTAGAAGAGGGTGATATGGTGCTTAAGAGAATGTTCGAGAAGAAGGAAAAAGAGAGGCATGAGAAGTTAGCAGCCAATTGGGAAGGTCCGTACCTCATAAGTGATAAAATCGGGCCGAGAACTTATAAATTGGCCACCATGGGCGGAGAAGCCATAAGCAAGACGTGGAACGCGCTACACTTGCGCAAGTACTTTTCGGCAGATTAAATGTAACCTCGCTTCAATTATTCAATACAAGTCTTAGTGGTGCATCATAGTCAATCTCAAAGCGTACATCTCATAAAACACATTCCAAGACGGGTCATTCAAAACGCTACCACGAAGCGGAATGCTCAACCCGCAATCCGTCCTAAGGGGCAGGGACTCGCTCAAAACACGCCACCCCGAAGGCAGAGCAAGATCCTAAAACGCATCCCGGGACATGGGTCATTCAACACGCTACCACGAAGCGGAATACTCAACCCGAAATGCGCCCTGAGGGGCAGGGACTCGCTCATAACACGCCACCCGAAGGCAGAACGAGATCCTAAAGCTGCATTCCGGGACATTGGTCATTCAAAACGCTACCACGAAGCGGAATGCCCAACCCGAAATACGCCTTGAGGGGCAGGGACTCGCTCATAACACGCCACCCCGAGGGCAGAGCCAGATCCTAAAAAACGCATTCTGGGACATGGGTCATTCAAAACGCTACCACGAAGCGGAATGCCCAACCCGCAATCCATCCTGAGGGGCAGGGACTCGCTCAAAACACGCCACCCCGAAGGCAGAGCGAGATCCTAAAAAACGCATTCCGGGACATGGGTCATTCAAAATGCTACCACGAAATGGAATGCCCAACCCGCAATCCGTCCTGAGGGGCAGGGACTCGCTCAAAACACGCCACCCCGAAGGCAGAGCGAGATCCTAAAACGCATCCCGGGACATGGGTCATTCAACACGCTACCACGAAGCGGAATACCCAACCCGCAATCCGTCCTGAGGGGCAGGGACTCGCTCAAAACACGCCACACCGAAGGCAGAGCGAGATCCTAAAACGCATCCCGGGACATGGGTCATTCAACACGCTACCACGAAGCGAAATGCCCAACCTGAAATTCATCCTGAAGGGCAGGGACTCGCTCATAACACGCCACCCCGAAGGCAGAGCGAGATCCCGAAAATACATAACGGTACTATCCCCAACAGGATCATCAAAACACAAATGGGAGGGAGTAAACGAACGCATTAACAAAAGGATCAAGGTTCAAAGGTAAGGGAGCCCGCATTGAAGCGGGCAATGTCAAGAGTGCAGGGAAATAATATTACAAACCAAGTTCCAGTCGAGGACAGACTCGACAAAATGAAAGTAGTAAACATGACATCTCAAGACTTATCTCCACCCCGGGAGCTTGCTTCATCACCTCCCGCTTGCACGTTCAGATCTATCTCGGAGTTGACGTCATCCGTGGAGGAACCCCAAGCAACCACCGCATCCCACACGGCATTGGTATCCCACTCCAAATCAGGATGCTCGCGACGGAACAAGTGCCGAATCGAAGCCACGGTGTCACCAATAGCCTTGGAACGTTTAGCATCGTCAATTTTGCGAAAGGCAGGAGACAGCAGGTACGAGGAAACCGCCGACTGGGTGGCAGCATCGACCTCGGCCTTGTGTTTGATCACGCTCTCCAATTGGCCCCTCTCCAGTTCGCCCACACGCTCGCGCAGCCGAGTAACGTCCGCCTCCAATATCTCCTTGTCAGCCATAAGACTGTTGACCTTCTGAACTCCCCGTGAGAGATCAGCACCGAGATCCTTAAGGACGTCAGCATGCTCCTTTTCCAGCTCCGCTTTAGCCTCCGCTCGGAATGCAGCCCGCCCCTTGAGAGATTCCGCCTCCAACTCCCCAATCCTCTTCCGCAGCTTCTCCGCTTCCGCCTCCACGCGCAACGTGGCAGTGTGCAGCTTCTCGTTGGTCATCCCGATTTGGGACAAGCCAATTCCCGCCTAAGAAAACTTTCCACGTCACATTTATTTTTCCATAAAAGAAGAAAATAGATGAGTAGAAGTACGTACCGCGAGAAGGAAACGGGCAGCGGTTCCCACCCAATGCTTGGCCGCGGGATCCTCAACCTCAGTATACTCAGGCGGTACAAGAAGCTTCCCTGATAACTCATGAAGCATTTGGCGGGCACAGTCCTCGTGCAGTGAAGAGTGGGGAGAAAAATCAACAGTCTCTGTCAGGGAGGTCGCCTTCGCCTTTTTTCGACCTTCATCATGCTCATCTGCAGGGCTCTCAACAATCCGCTTCCCGGTGTCGCGAACCTTGCGTGCCGGTTCGGCGTTTGCTTGCACAGTTATCAACCCACCTTCACCAATGGAGAGCGTGGCCTGACTAATAGTGGTGGGAGGCTTGTTAGCAAGAGGCAAGGTCTTCAGCGAAGCAGCAGCAGAAACAGCGGAGGGGCCTGGCTTGGAAGGAACCTGGGAAGCGGAGCCCATCCTTGGAACAGTGAGCTTGCCCCGCCTTGGAGGTCGGGCCATCATCGCCACGCTCCCAAAATTCATAACTGCAAAAAACAGTCAGAATCAGAAACGCAAAATGCAAGCATCCAATCATAAGAAAGAAGCAAAATCAACGACGCTACTGACCATCCCCGAAAAGTTAGGTCAAAATGGATCTCACAGAATCTGGTCCCCCGGGCTTCACATTAAAGGGTGAGAAGTTGGCGAGGCGGGCGTCATACTCTTTTTGGGAATCTAAGGTCCATAGTTTTGCGTCCCAATTTTCCTTCCGCCCGTAAGCGTAGCCCGTCCTGGGTTCTTTATCCCCGGAATACCATATCGATGTGGGCTTGGCATAGAAGAAATCCCTGAACCAAGCATTATCAAGCTTGGGAGACCCGGTCACAAACCCGTAATCCTTGTCCCGCCTCCCGAAGGACCAGACATTAGAAACCCGACGAAGGCCGTATATGAAGCGGAAGGCGGCAAATGAAGGTTCAACACCGACCCTCTTACACGCGAGTTTGAAAGCGCAAGCGTGAAAGATTATAGTGGGCGACAGTCGACCGAGGGTACAGTTCAGACATAGAAGGGTTAGAGTAATAAGGGGGTCCAGGGGGAAGCGTAGTCCACACTTCAGCTGCTCGGTGTATATGGTTATCCATCCCTTGGGACATGTACCCGCCCTGGAGGTTGAAGAGGGGGCGGCGTATTTCCAGTCGGTTGGCAGCTGGTAATTCCTAAGGCGAGTGAGGATGGTAATGGGCGTCAGCTTATTGTACCTGTCCGGCCCTCGGTCAAACGCACGCGCCGGAACTTCCTGCTTCCCCCACATATGCTCGTGCAGGCGGATTGAATACGTGTTATCAATCACGGCGCGGTAGTCATCACCAGAAGTGTCCTCCGAAAGCTCAATGGATGGAGAGTCGGGCACCTCGGGCGAATTTTGCTCATCAAGACTAAGCCCCTCATCAGAACTTACGCTCGCTATGGAGACGTCATCAAAACTTGCCAGGTTATCCCCCATGGCGGAAGCGTCTCCCCTAGGTGCTACATTCTCTATGCCTAAACCCAAAGCAACATCTGTCAATTCATACGACCCGTCTCCGGACCTACCCAGCAGGAACCGGCCGTCATCCGACCACGAACCACCGAAATCAAAATCTACCCCGCTAAAATCCCAGTCAAGATCGGCCGTACTAAAGGGCGATAAAGCGTTCAGATTGAGCATACCTTGAGCGGCGGCGGTTATGGGATCCGTAACCGTGTCCGACGAGTCTAGGATGATCGGCATCGGAGCAGTGGTAGTCGGCGGCGCGACGGCGCCGCCGGCGGGAGCATGAACGGCGGCGAGGGCGCCGGAGGTCGATTTCTTCCGATTCGGCGAAAATCCCGAACCAGCGGACGGCGACGGGTGCGAAGGACCATCTCCAGCCATTGTCAGAAAAAAGGATTATATCTAACCACAGGAGGCTAAGGGAGTACAGAGACAAATATACAACAATGATCACGGAAAGGAGACACCAAACAGATGACAGAGAAGAAACAAGAAAGAAGAACAGAAATGCCAAGAGCAAGAGTGAAGAAAGAGTACCTTCGTTTGATTTCTCCGGGGAGCTTTTAAATGACACGGCGCGATTTCCAGGAGCGACGGTTGAGAAACCCTAGGATAGGCTATATAGGCTAATCATGGCAACAACGATTTCCTGGCGGCGCGTCACTATTAATGCTGGGAGGCTGCATTGCACGTGGAGGAGAGAGAAAAAACAATCCCGAGGCGTGTGGGCCCCGAGTCGACGGCTGGAGGGAGAGACTCACAGGATAAGGGCGGTTCATTGACCCAGAGGGTGATCCCGCCCTAAAACACGGAAGATCAGCCGTCCAAACCCGGAGGCTTTACCCGCCTGCGAGACAATTGTTGGGCCATTGGGGATCACCATCTGGATCAAGACCCACGTAGTAGGAGATGGATAAAAGGCTCGGGTAGTCGAGGTAACAGGGGAGCAGGCCCAATAACCCGCGAGCCAACGATAGGGACCAGAGGGCCCGAGACGGCCCAAGGAGGGAAGGCCCACGTAAGCTCGGGAGAAAACAGATCGGCCCATTGAGCAAGGAATCAAGGGGAGAGCGTCCCGTGTAGAACAGGCGCGATGGGTGGAGCCGGGACTAACAGCATTAAATGCCGCCGCAAGCGTACCTCGTGTGGAGGAGTACGAGGTATGTATGACAAGACATCGTGTACAGGCGCCAATAGCCACGGGGTATAAATAAGAGCCAACAACCTCATTTATGGTAACTAATTTCACTCTCTCTCTACAATCTCTCTCCCTATTTTCTCTCTCAATACTGACTTAAGCATTGGAGAGTGTCCCCGGGCAACGCCCCCGGACCCCTTTTGCAGGAAACGGTGTATTCCCTCATCTTGGGTGGACTGTCGATCTTCTCATTGGTCTTCACAACCCGCCTGGCACTTTCTAGGCGTAAACATCAATGTTGTCAAAAGCGTGGCCCTCCGTATAAGCGTTTTGGCGATAGGTTAAATTTTTTAAGATTTTAAGTTTTAAAGCGTAGATTTTTTTTTGAGAAACTTTAAAGCGTAGATTTTGACTACACTTATAAGCAAGAATTGAAATATCGTACCGTACCAGTGGTTCGACCAGAAAAACCTTCTACCGGGGGCTAAACTAGTAGGCAATATTTAGCGGTATGAAGCGGTTGAACCACGATTAAACCACGGATTTAGCATGAATATCCTACCGCTGACTTTTCCGGTACAACCTCTGGCACGATATTTCAATCCTTGCTTATAAGTGAAAAACACTATAAAAACGTTTCGATGAACCTAAAATAGTGAAAACATAATTTTTTAATACTTAAAACACAATTTTGACTGCATTCATCAGCACTGTTCAAAGAAAGCTAAAGAGATTACTATGTGGCAAAAAATCTTCAAACTGACAAAATGATTAATGATACAAAGGATCAATTCCCTTTCAAAATGGTACAATTGTATTTGTACGCACTCTTTCTCCTAACTTCGAACTTAAGATTTTTATTATGTCTATATTATACGCTTTCAAAATGCCATTTGCGGTTAAGCTAGGAAGTACACACAGATCTTTGTCTTCTTCTTCTTCATCCCAGATTGTTGGAGGAAGGAGGCAAAGCAAAGCACATTTATAAAAACCAAAATTTAACATATTCACTCATGTGGTCAACAACAGACGTTGATATTGTGACACTCACACTATCACCGGGCGATATTACTCAATCAAAGGCTTATTACTAAGAGCTAATATCGGTATATTGACTTTTCTTCCCGGCCACGTTGATTGACTATTTCCCTTCTCCGGCGGCTTCATCAGAGATCCTTGAACAGCTTCCGGACCTGTTCCAGCGTCACGAAAAGCACCACCGTGAACGGGCCCTGCCGCGAAATCGTCGGCACAAACCCTTTGTAGAGCGCCATGGGGCCCTCCGCCCTCACCGTCTTGATCGCGCAATCCAGCGCGCCGGCGTACGGCGCCGCCTTCCCCGCATCCACCTTCATGTTCATCACCCTCGTCTTGATCACATCCACCGGGTTCGAAACCACCGCCGCCACGAACCCCGCCGCGAAGCTCGCCGTCACGTGGGTCCCCAGCCCGTCGCCCATCACCCCTTTCTCCAGAATCGTCTCCTTGAACTGGTCGTACGACGCCAATTGCGACGCCGTCACCAGCATTGCCCTGTTCACCGTCATCGCCGACCCGCGCCACAGGCTCACGATCCCTTCCTGCCGCGACATCCGAGCGATCGCGTCCACAACGCTGGTGTAGTTCCGCCGCTGCGCCGCCGGGAGGCGGCCGTCGGCCTGCATCCGCACCATGGCGAGGTCGGCGGGGTTTCCCACGGCGGCGCCGATCGCGCCGGCGATCAGGCCGGCGGAGATTTTTTTGGGGAGCGGCATGATTTTGGTTGAAGGGTCGGTCCATTTCTGCTTGAGGATGTCGTAGATTCCCATCCGGGTCGTGGAGTAGAGGGTCTGCCGGAGGACGGTGGCGGAGACGCCGGAGAACAGGGCCTTGACGCCTTCCTGCTGGACGATTCGAGCGCCGACCGCAATTGGGCCGACGCGGGGCGGCGCGGGGATGTGAATTGAGGTCCCGTGGTGGTGGTGAGGAAAGGCGAGGGCTGGTCGGAGGGCGGCGGTGGAGGCGGAGGATTCGCCCTGGAGCTGCATCCGGACCTTGATTAGGTCGATTGGGTGGGTGGAGCAGCCGGCGACGATGGAAGCCACGCCTCCCTCGAGAAATCCTTTCAAACCCATTGTGTAGGATTAGGAGCTGGAATCAAATTTCGACGTGGGTGATTAAGCAGGGGGGGGGGAATCAATTGAAAAACAGGGGAAGATTGGATTAGCTATTGGGAGAGGAAATGGAGATGTGGGTGGAAAGGAGGAGATGGGAATGGTGGCGGAAGGCGACGGCGGAGAAGTGGGGGACGTTTGGACGCTGAGACATATGCCGGTTGCGGCGGAGGGATTTGTAGAGAGAATATATATAGTTGGTAAGGGAAGGTTGGGGGAAATGGAATCGATGGTGAGGAGAGGCAGAGGATGGAGAGGAAGAGTATTTATAGAGAAGATTGGAAGGGAAAGGTTGGAGCTCTTTTTTCTGGGGTTGAGGGCTTTTTACATTTTGCAGTTGTTACGCGATGTAGGGTTGATTTTGGGGTATATGATGCCATGCTAATGTTGGAAACGTCTTTCTGTTCTTGACTAAGATATCTCGTCTCTTGCCTTTAATATTTGTGGAATCTTTGGGGGATTGATTTCCTTGGATTTTGATGTTAAGGTCTGGAATTTTCTCCAAAATTTCCTTTACGTGGGATATCTTCCTTCTACCCTGTTTACATTGCTCATTAATTTACCAATGATTTTAAAATAGCAGCGGAAGTAAAAGTTATTGATAGTGTATTTTGTATTAAAATTGATCGTCATCGTAATAGGTACAGTTTCAGCTAGCTCGAACCTAATACCTTTCTTTCACTTCAAACAAATCTCAATTAACATCTTAACCGGTTGTACCATTTGTAGTGAAATTTAGAGGATCACTTTTGGTATTGCATTGATCTAGGTGAGAGCTAATCATATTATGAACTGATCGACTAATGTGTTAGGATCAAACTCATTAGGTTAGATCTAGATCATTCAATCTTGACCTCAAAGGCTCCAGTCGATTCTCCTAGAAATATGACATGCCAGACAAAGAAAAACGTAAGAAACAAGTGAGTTACTAGATTTTATCATTCTGAATATTTGATTGTCGTTCAAAAGAATATCAACCATAGATGATAGAACTCCATACTCCAAAATGTTTCTCACTCTCTAAAATGTAGCAAGTTTGGATCCAAGAAATAAGGAGCTAAGGAAATACAAGGTGGAAGATGTTTATCTCATGGCTTTTTTTTTTTTTTGACAAAAGATAATCATATATTGATCAAGCAAAAGATAGTTACATCCTAGAAATGAGCCAGACCCGGAGATCAAAAGAATGACTTATAAACGGGTACAAAGAGAGGGCTTTCCTAGCCACCAAATGGGCTACTCTATTATTATACCGACCCACAAATCTAATACAAATCTCATGGCTCATAAACTAACTTAAGATAAAAGGTTTAACCCATTTCCAAAACTCTGACAAATATATTCTTGTTAGCATGTTTTATTCTTATCATTTCATTATGTGCGTAACCTAAAGATGGTTTCGCATCAAAATCAAACCAATCACACAAGCGAACTACTCACACAAATTATATACATCCTAACGATCTTAACCATGTAAGATGCTTAGACAAAGTTTAACTACACGAACTCCCTTTGGAAAATAGACAAAAGATTGTCAATGTTTTCCAACTTGTGTTACTCCAACCATCTTCCATCAAAGTGAAGTCGGAACAAAGTCAAAACTTTCTATAATTATGTGTAAATGATACAGATTGAATAACTCTTTAGTAACTTCTGATATTCAAATAGTTATCGTCGGGGTTATTAAGGAGAGATAATTATGTCGCGAAGCGATATACATTTTCGAATTCCATCATTTTCTAGAAACAAAACCAAATACTAGATTTTTAACTTGACATGACGACTTGGTTGTCTACATATACTCAACTAGTTTCGATTGAATCCTATATCGTCCAGTCTAATTGATAGATTCCGATCATTTCTTCAATGTAGCTCTTGTTAACTCGTCACATGTATCGAGTCTCAATCCAACCAATTCAACTAGTCTCATGGAACTAGGTTTGACATAGTTGTAATGTGACTTTTTCTACAAAACCTAACCTTCTTCACATTTGGCCCCTTGGTGCAGTTGCAACGTCCCACCATTAGAAATCACCTTTGGCCAAGGGTTTGAAATTTCTATGGTTCATGCATATGTAAATCTAGCAGTCAATTTGTAGGACAAATGTACGATAGTTGAGACAGCTATCAGACAACAATTGAGGTGGTAAATAAACTATAAATTTATTTATGTTTCATCACCAACGTCAATCGTCGCTTTGGCCGAGTGGTTAAGGCGTGTGCCTGCTAAGTACATGGGGTTTCCCCGCGAGAGTTCGAATCTCTCAGGCGACGGTTCTGTTATTTTTTTGACTTTTTCTTTCTTGGTTTTCCATTGACTCTATTCCTTACGTGACGTACCTAGACGAAACTACAAATCAAAATTGACCCTCCGCCTCCCGACCTTCTTCTCCCGTCGATTCCCGACGCCGTGTTAAAAAAGAGTCGCCGAACCCGAAAAAGGTCATACTTTTCTAGCAGGCAAGTCGAGCCCTGTTGCCAACACAAATAGACACTGCCATTTCGCCGCATCCAATGGTCGCTAGTTGAGCCGTTGACGGACCGCCACTCCCCTCCCGCCGCCGACAAGTCCGACGCCACCCATTCGATTTCATCACACACACACACGCTGTCTGTAATCAATTGTCAACTGACGCCCACTTCTGACCAATAACCCTTGGAAATGTTTTACTATTTGGAAGTCGTCCCTCGTAATTAATAAAAGCAGGAAACTGGAGTTCTTTCTTTTCCAGATGAATCGTGTCCTTCATCCAGCCGCTATTACGATTTCGCTTTGCTCAATCAAAACATTCAGCTGACTTTTTGGTTGTGATCAGGTCTGTTCATACTTCATCCCCTGGGCCATGGTGTAAAATCCAATCACTATTTGAAACGTAATTCAGGCTGCTGCCTGCTGTACAGGCTGTTTTGCTCTTCCAAACGTAACCAAAACAGGCTGTGTTCGTTCAAAGAGAACAGCTTCCTTCCGTGTTTGTGTGTTCTTTTCAAAGTTCTGACAACTGGGTTACTTCTAAGGCACTACTTCGATCAATTTTGTTCGTTAAAAGGCATCTCTTGGGTACCTTCATGACTCTCCCACAGTTGGTGCGGAGGAGTCTTTCCTGTAGAAAGTTGGCATTCATCATCCTTACAAATCAGGATCAAAGTGCATAAACAAGATAAATGTGCATAAGTCGCTGAGTTATCGTGTATAAACTAGAGGGTTGATGGGTATAAACTATAAACTAAGACATCCATGTGTACAAATCAAAGTAGAAACTAGGAGGCAACGATTTAGATGGTGGAATGTTGAAATACAAGATACAATGTTGCGAATTAACCACCATTAGCCATGGGTTTTGGTTAGGTTGCGGGATGATTGCATCTCTTATCTCTAGTCAATAATGATGTGGGGGAACAAGAACCAATCTAGAACAATATTTTTTTAGGTTGGTAGTTTGAAATTGATTTTCCTTTGAAGTAGGAAGCAAATTGCTAATAGGACCTACAATCTCACCATTCCAGCCAATACCGTAGAAATTGATAGGCTCATCTGAGTCATGTGTTCTTGGTCTGTGAAATGAGCACTCAAACATGAAATCCGCCATAGTGCATCTAGCTACCAAGAAAGTTAGGCAACAAATTCCGAGAGTTTTTTTTTTTTTTTTACAAAAAGATAATCATATATATTGATTAGACCAAATGATAGCGTATTATGGCTAACAATATCCCTCCGACGGGCGCCGGTACTATACTAGAGGCGAAGGAGCAAAGAAAGCAATATAACAAGCCATGTTGAGACCAAAAAATAACGGAGCTCAGAACGATGATTCCCCCAGAACAGAAGCAGAAGGTAAGAGTAAGAAGAGTCACCGAAGGCTAGTTTCTATGTACAGTTTACATAATTGCAGTTCTGGCCAATGTGAAAGCAGATCGAGATTGTAACAACGGTACAAGCTCCTTACTCGGGACAGGGTAGTCAATCACCTATAAAATACAAGGTCCCAGCTGCAATTCGTTTTGATTGCCTCCTCCAATTCCGCGGCCTGATCAAAATCAACCTTGAAGGAAACCATCGCGATGCCATCTTTACCCGTTTCGTAATCTTGTCTGATGTCTGCAACTTGAAAGGACTGTAACTGTACAAGCACAAAACATATGCAGAGAGAATGAGTGAGCAAACAAACAGAGATCGCCAGACTAAATGTTGAAAAAATGTGAACTTTTTGAAGATTCAATTGGCTGATGTAAGAACATCAGACCACTGAAACTGAGTAGAGCAACAACAATGATGACACAGCGGGTTTAAACCTGATGATTAAGAATCCCCAAGAGCTCGAACGGGACTTCGACTCCAAGTGGAACCTACAACAACGTTTTGAATGAACACCTCCCGTGAAACAAACTAAAATCTGACGATTCTGTGAACAAATTTGAGATTTTCCTGATCTACCATTCTGATGAAAGAAGCAGCCAAAACAAGGATACCTTGGATTTCACGAGCTGGGTTGGGGCATTCCTCAAGCATTCGGCAGATACTCCACCATAAGCCCTCACTAATCCTCCAGTCCCCAACTTAATTCCTCCAAAATGCCTGAACCACGAAAATCCCCAATTTGTAACTTTACCCTATAAATTTAGATCAAATCAAAATTCATCAGCATTTCCTTTGTAATCACCTGATTACAACCACCATTACTCTATCAATCCCGGAAGATTCAATCGCAGATTGGATTGGCTTCCCAGCAGTTCCCGACGGTTCGCCATCGTCATTGCTCCGGAACTGATCTCCCACCTTGTAGGCCCAGCAATTGTGGGTGGCCCGAGGATCTCTGACCTTCCACATAAGAATTGAACCATCAACATAAGGCAGAGAGGGAAATACTGAATTAAGCCACAAACAAACGACGACGAGTTTGTAAACCTGATTGAGGAAAGCGAAGGCGGACTGTTCGCTGGAGATCGGGCCAGCAACGGCGATGAATTTGCTCTTTTTGATTTCCTTTTCGAAGATTACTTTCTCTTTTATCGTCGTGAACGCGCCGGCAGCATTTCCGCCACCGCTACTTGTGGTGGCCATGGCTCGCCAAGCGGAAATGGCGACGAGGGAGGCGGAGGGAAGGAGGAGAGAGCGGTGGCGGGTCAGGCCGCAGCAACTGTGGAAAGGGCGGTGGTGGCCGTGGCTCGGTTTTGGCGTCGTGGTGAGATACATTTGCTGCCCGTCGCTGGCTTGTCCAATGAAATTACTCGACTTCCCAACCAATTTTGTGAAGGGGAAAAGCCATGGCTGTCTTTGGGCTTTACTTCATCAGAAATGGGCTGCTGAGGAGCAAAGCCCATTCTGACATATAACTCCGTCTTGAATATTGACTGGAAAAGCCTTCAGCATAAGCACTGATCTCATTCAGTCAGAAGGCTGGTAAACTTGATCAACGCATTGCAGCAGCAAGCTAAAGAGCTTCTACTTTTTTTTTCGTCACCCTGCAACTTGATCAACGCATTGCAGCAGATTTGCCACTTCTGAAATATTATCTGCTTTGTCACCCACGAGTGAGATCATATCAACAAATTGAGAAGGTTTCAATGACCAAAATCGTTCGGCAAAATTCGCTGTCCCAAAAGAAACCTTTCTGTGGAAGCAAACAAGCGAATAATGTATCAGCAAGGAAACAGAAATTAGAAAAACGTGAGTTATCCTAGGGGGGAAGAATATGTTAAGTTTATGTAAATTTGCCACTTCATAGTTACCCAAAACAATATCGATAATAATGGGATTCCAAAATCCTCTGTCCTCTAAGACTTGGGATTGTCAACAACTCACCATGTTTCCTCCTTATCCATGAGACCATGACCACAAACTAATGATTAAAACAGGAAGATGAGGCAGAACTAAAGATGCCATCCAGACAAAATGGCCACAAATGATGCCAACTGAGATCCAAGGCAACAGGTTCTCAGTTGAAGTTCCAAGAGCAAATTAAATGCAATCAAGAGCACAAGCTTTCGACAATGCATCCATCCACTCAAGATGTAGAGAAGAGATGCAGGACTTGTCCTACAGCTCCAGATCCTTTATGATGAGGATTCTGGTAAAACATGAATTTCAACATCTGGTATTTTCTTCATAAATTAATCTTTAACATGTAAGCGGAATTAGAGCGGACAGAACCTCGTGGTACAAGGCGTAGAAGACGCATTGAAGGAGATAGAATTTGGGAAAAAGTCTTTATCTTGAGAAACCACCCGCACCTGCCAGAAGGAAAGCATTGAATGGTCAGAGGATATGAACAACATTGAGGCAGAAAGTATTCATGTAAGCACATTAACTTTGCAAACTTGAGACAATGGAGCACATCTGTTGAGACGCCAGGCATCTTTGTAACACTTTAGGCGTCACCTTCAAAAGTATAATGAGATGAAACATGAATTCTCATAACAGATGGAGAAAAAGCAGAATAATTGACTCATTAAACTAAACTGCAGAAATGGTGACTGCTGGACACCACTAAGGCATATGTACCAACATACTGAATGCCTGATGGTGGCTTTGGTTATGTTACTCGTTAACAGAGCCTTGGCCCCGACTTTGATCATTTGGTACCATTTCTCTCTTGTCTTTCTATGTTGCCATCAACTGCCGGAAACCCAGACATAGAAACAAAAGATGGACGATGAAACCATCTATCATTATCTTTCACTTGCAAAAATTTGAAATTGGTTCAAACTGATTGTGTATGTGCCACTACCTAACAGTAAGGCCAGTGATGTCCTTGCAATTTTTCAATTTCATAGTCCTGTAAGAACTACACAACAAACAACATGCACGATTTCTCTACTGTACATGCCCTCTTGCAGCAGCATTGAGAGCCATCTCTAGCATGCACTTGCCTTTATACCCTTCCATCTCTTCAACCCACAACACACACTTCATCCTCCCACCCATTATCACCATCTCTGCCCTCAACACCTTAGCCTTCACTGTCCTCACCGCCTTCCCAACATCCTCCATTAGCTTCCTCCTGTCTTCACAGCTCAGCATCACCTTCACAACCTGCTGCTGTTCTCCCTTTCCTTCCTTGTCTTCAATACTCACAACACTGTCGTCATCATCGCCACCAGGATACAAGCAGTCCGACCCACCACCGCATATTGCATTCAGTTCAAATGCTGTCGACTTCAGCTGCTTCAGTTGCCTGATGGTTTCTTCAAGCACTGATGCTTTGTTCTTCTGGTGTGAACATAGGTCAGCTTGAGATTGGTTGAAGTTTGAACTAGGAATAGAGACAGAGTTAGGAGAAAGTAATTATTACTTTGATGATATTAGGGAGGATTGTGAGCAGGTCTGAGTACATGCTGTTCATTCGAGACCTTCGATCCCTCTCAGAGACTTTGTGCTTCTCTTTGGCGTCTTCTTTGGATACTCTTCTCCTCAACGAATGCTGTCTGTAAGCATCAAGGGAACGATAGTCGATTGTGTTTGGTTGTGCTCTTGAGTTATAGAAACTTTTTATGCGATGTGCCTCTTGTATCTGTGGAGAAAACGAGAACGTGAATCAACAACGTTATAGGGGAAATAGAAAACAGGACAAAGTGAAATTGTCTGCATGCAATTAGGCAAAGACTAAGCTACCTGCCGTAGAGAAACCATTTCAAGAATGCCAAGTCAAGCTTGGGCATCAAGTTGCTCCAAAAGGGTAACAGATTCTATTGCAGGATGAGTGTTGCAGATCACAGCTTTGCTTGTTGTAGGAAGCTTTGCAATGTTACTTAGTCACTGTCTCCTGAAAGGAAATTTATGAGATGGGATTCACAAATATATGCAAGCAAACCAATGAATGTACTATCAATACCCAAGATCAAACAATTTAAAGCACTTGATTCCCTTGATCATGTGATCTGGAGAACTTAATGCTATGCACGAAAAAATGCCTTTCTTTTCAGCATCCTGCATTGTCATTTATCTTCACTAATCAATACCCCTCCAATTGAAGCTCTCGACTTTCACAATACAAGATGAACAGCAGAGGCTGGATTTCCAACATGACAAAAAGGTTACAAACAAACGGATTTTGATACCTCTTAAGACCTATATTAGCTGAAGTTAATTTAGGGAATAAATATCCCAAAGGATATGAATGCCATTAGCAGCTACAAAGAAGTTCAAAAGTGTGATTCACCTCCACAAGTTATTTCCAGTGGAAACCCTCTGCTTCAGCTGTTGCGTCATTTATGCAGATGAAGAAAAACCTTGATCTTCTCGACATGTTAGAACATATAGGTTATGCTGTTCTAAATGACAACCCATTGCAGTGAATCATTGGACATTCAATGATTTTGCCTTACAAAAAGATATCACAGACAGTTATAGTAGAAGAAATAGTGTGAGATGGACAGCTTCATTCCAATGTTACTAGACCACGCCACAGATTGTTTGAGATCAGAAACTGAACAACTATGGACTGTTGAAAATCCGAAACCGGAAACAACAATCATCCAATGGCTTCATAAAGCCAAAGGGTACTAAACTGCGAAAGTTGAAAGATTAACATGGACATTTGAAAAGTACACTTCTTCTTTGTTTTCCTACCCTGGTTAACATGTGAGAACTGAGATCAAAAGATGAACATGAACAAACTATTTTCTTGCCATGCTCAGGGAAACAAAACCCCAAAATTCCAGCCAATGGCTGACCGCTTTTCATCCTACCACAGTCAGCTCAAAACCATATCTACCCAAAATATGAACAAGCCTATGCCGCCACAGAATTTCCTTTCCCCTCATTTCGCCCAGGATCAACCCATATTCTTCATAGAAACATACACCTCATCCTCCCCCAAGAAGAACTCCAAATCACCATCACTATAACCTCCATTATCAGTCTCATTCGCCCCCACACTTTCTCCAAAGATCATTCCTTCAACAGTTGTGGCAGCAGTGTTTCCTAATTTAGCATCTGAATCCTGAGTTTCCACCCTCAACTTGCTGCCCTGCCCTGTTCCCATCATCTTCCTCGGTCTTTTTAGAATGGACTTCCGATAAGTTCCCTTCTTTCTTCCATTTCTCACCGCCGGGTCACTGCTACCCTGCCCATTATTTGCAGAAGCCCCACCTCCTCCTTCACTTCCACAATGTTTCTTCCTCTCACTCTCTTTCTCCTCACCGCCATTCTCCTTCGACGAACTATCATCAGAAATTTCCATCACATTCTCCTCCGCCGGAAACCCCTTCACTCCACCTTTACTGCCACCACCGCCATCGCCTCCTCTACCTTCGCCTCCGCCGCTCTGCTCACGCAAATAGTACTTAAGAGGAAAATACCCATACCCACAATAATACTCCTCCCGGTTTCCTTCAGCCACCGGCGGAGGCGACCCAACCGCTAACCCATGAAACCCTTTCCGGCAATTCTGACACCTGAGGCAGCAATCCTCATACGCGCTCTCATACTCGTACGCATAAAAGCAGTAAGGGCAAACCGTCCAAAATGTGCCCGAACCCCCCTTCGATTTCCCACCCTCTCCTTTTTCTTCTTCTTCGCCCGGATTCGCTCTGGGTTCCTCTCGAGATTTCCCTTTGTCCTCCGCCGCCATGGCCGACCAAGCGGTGAAGACGTGATCGAAGGCTTCTTGGCAGAAGGGGAAGCTGTTCTTGGAAGGGTGAACGAGGGCCAAGAGCTTGGTGAACTGGCTTCTCATGCATGCTCGGTCGCTGGCCATTGAGTCGTCGAGCTGGAGTACGGAGGCCCAATCGGGTAGGCCGGTGGTGGGTAGGCGGTTCTGGGCGGCGAGGAGAATGTCGACAATGGCGATGATTTGAGGTGGCTCTGTCCGGCTAGGGTCGGCGTTTTGGGCCAAAAGAGCGTATTTCCGGGCGCCGGAGAAATCGCGGAAGCCGAGGAGTTGTGCCGAAAGAGAAAGCAAGGGTTCCGGGTCGGGCTGAGGCTGCTGCGCCATTTTTGCTTTTCTGGCCGCTGTCGGTGTGTGTCTGACAAGATGCGATTCCTCCTGGCTCTGCGATTTTGAATAGACCAGGAAGTTAGAGGGACGGAGGGAGCTGTGGGTTTGGCAGGAACATACAAATTTGGCCTTTTCTAGTGCGATCTGTGGGGGGTAGTGGGGTAAAAATCTAAACGGCAACAGATGGACGGCGGGGATTTCACCTGAAGATCATATCTATTTCTTTCTGGATTTAGCTTTTCTTGTGTATTTGCATATAGTTTATTTTACATTTATAACCGCTAGAATGGGTAAATTGTAAGTTTGGTCATTTGAATTATTAACAAATTTCACGTCCGTCACTAAAATAAGTTTATTTCATTTATGGTCATTAAAATTAGTTCAACAGTTCAAGTTTGGTAATTTTCTGTTAGTCTACGTTAACTTTTACTGATGTGACAGTCAATCCTGATAGTTGACCGTCAAATATGTAACCATCGTAACAATTACAAAAATAATAAAATAAATATTGTACAATTTCCACCTCGTTTTCAAAATAAATTACACTAAAACCAAAATTGAAATTTAACCCTCCGACTCTTTTTCCTGATTATAACCGCCACGGTGTCTTCCTCCCTCCTGTCAACCTTACCGCTCTCACCTACTCCATCCTCTCCCTCACCGACAGTCGCGCGTCGCGCCGCGCCGCCCTCCTCACCTCACCCGCCTCGTTCTCCCTCACCCTTGCCCACCTCCACTCCCTCTCCCTCCCTCGAAAATCCAACTCTTTGACAAACACCTCCTATCCTCCATCCTCCAAACCACCACCTTCAGTGGCGGAGGCATGATTTCAAATTACCCTTGTCCTTTATTCAGAATATATATAATATTTTATAAATATAATTAAAATTAATAATATCTAAATAATTCATTCACAGAGAAACAAAAAACTGACTAATACAATTATTGTTTCATAAATAACCAGGACGAGTTTTCATATTATGAAAGAAATGTAAAATAAATTCATTGTTTACATCACCACCTTCTCCTCCTCTTCGACCTCCTTCCCCTCCTCTTCGACCTCCTCCACTACCACCTGGACATGCTCGACGCCACCTCGTACGAGCACTGGCGCCTCCACCTGGCCGCCCACTACTGTGCTCGCAGAAACACAATAACAAATGTGAGGGGCAGAGAACAGATTTTGAAGAAGATTCAATTAAAAATCTGTTTCAGCCATGAATTGGGCGATTCAATTCGTTCGCATCAATAAGGACTCCTGGGTGATGATCTTATCGGAGAGGGGAACAGATTTAGATGATTTCGGCGATTTTGGAGTAGGAGGTGTCCACCGGATTCGATGGTGATGACCGGCGCTGATGGTAATTACGATGGTTGTGGCGTGACTTGGCAGTGGGACTGGGAAGTGCTATCTGGTTCGGAGGAGCATGAGTTGGGAGTCAGGGCACCCGAATTGCTGGTTGTCATGACGAAAATGAAGTCATGGAATCCTTAGCGTCAGTGGCGACGGAGTAGTCGAGTGGGAATCCTCTCCCGCTCGTGTGTTTTTTTGGTCATTTATTAATTATATCTATAAAATATATAAAGGCTTTTCCAAAAACTACCTTCACCATTTCAAAATTCCAGCCCTCCTATGCATCCACGTCAGCACCCTTCCGACCAATCAGATTTTTTCTTAACTCCTTTTTTTTATTTTAAGTTTTTCTATACCCCAATCAGAATGTGCCACTTAACTCTCTCTCTCTCTCTCTCTCTCTCTCTCTCTCTCTTATTTTTAAATCTCCCCTACTACTCTTAATTGATTCATATTTATTTCGCTTCAACTCCAAATTTAAATATTATTGCGCGAAAAAATCAGATTTTATGTGATCTACACAAGGATATCCATTTTGATATATGTTTTTTTTAAACATAGCCACAATCATATATATACAAGGCATGTTCCTATTCGATAGTTGCGAAACTATATCGATATCATTCAATTGTACCGCCATAAAGTATATACTAACATAGATCGCAGAACAAATTTCTTATTCTACTGAGTTACTAAATAATATCAATGTTTAATTTTGTAATATCATAATAATAATTCACAACAATTTCATGGGTGCTAAAATATTGTCGTGCAGTACAAACTAATTTACCTTAAAAAAAATCATTTAGCGGCCAACTGGTCGGACTCAAAGGTATACACGATTTGAAATGAGAGAGGACAATGACAGACTAAACAAAATAGACACCTTAGAAGGAAAAAATTACCAAAGTACATATTTCAAACAAAATTTATCCGGCCAACGGACCGGGTACCAAACTAGTGTTGTTTTATGAATTTGTTAAATTATATTATGATAACCAGGAGGAAATTTTAAGGGAATAATTTTTATTATTTTTGTAATTGTCACGTCACATATTTAACAGTCAACTATCAGAGTTGACTGCCACATCAGCAAAAGTTAACGGAGAGTGACCAAATTTGAACTTTTGAACTAATTTTAATGACCATGAATGAATTAGACTAATTTTAGTAGCAAAGGTGAAATTTTTTAGTAATTCCAGTGACCAAACTTGCAATTTAGCCCCGCTGGAATTTACTGCCACAACTTGATGAACAAGTTGAGGAATTACAGGTTGTTGTCCTTTTGTTTCCTTTGGACCTACTCTTTTTTACAATTCGTCTTTGTTCAAAGGGCGTCGTCGGTGTGTGAAGGAATGAAGATGGAGTTGCTCTACAAGTTCTCAGAAGGTAAAATGGAGCTGACAGAAGAAGGACAAGTCATATGACCAAAGCTTCTTTTCACTCAGGTAATTCAAGCAACTACATGCATCGAACTCGTGTCACGTACATTCAAGTAGTACACGACTCCACTAGATGGAACTACGACTGATTAGTTCTGTAACTAGTTAGTTGAGTTAGTGATATAGGCTGCCACTTAGTAGTCTGCTACTTGTTAGTTTAATTGATGATTAGTAGTTTATCATTAATGTATAGTGACATAGCTAGAGTTTGGTACATATACAGAGTAACCCACAGAGGAAAAGACATATTGTCAACTTCCCATAACACTGGCAATTTCTTCTTCTGCTCTCTTCCCTTCTCAAACCCTAGTCGCTCTCCAGTGCTAGGTTGCAAGTTTTCTCAAGGTATCAGAGTCTGGTTGTCTACTGATCTGATTACTTTTTCTTTTCTATTTACTTTTTCTTGAACCATTTTCATGGTGACTAGCTCCATAACTAGTGAGATGTCGGAGGATACCCAACAGACAATTCTTATTCCACCCATCTCACCTCACTATGAAGACCCATTCTCGAATCCCTTCAACTTGGTGTTAAGTGACAACTCAATTCTTCCTGTCGTCGGGTTCAAGCTGAATGACGACAACTACCTCCTCTAGAGTGCATCAATTGAGGTCTCACTGAGCACAAAGAACAAGTTTGGCTTTGTCGTTCGTACGATTCAAGTACCATATGTTTTCTTACCCTTCTTATGGTACATGGGATTGGGTAAATGACACCGTGGTTTGGTGGATTAAGAATTCTTTTTCACAAGATATTGTCCCAAGTCTCATGAATATTAAGATTGCATCTTATGTTTGGTATGATCTCATAAGTTAATTTGGGATTAACACCAAAGTAATTTACCCATACTATATTGTGATTGTGTTGCTAGAAACTATGAAACATTCATGAAATATCAAGAGCATGGCAAAATGATAAGGTTTCTATTGAGTTTGAATGGGAGGTGTCAGTGAAGATACTTATTTTTTTTATGAATGTGTGCTGAAGTTTAATTAACCAAAATAGTGGAGGGTCCATAAGTTGTGGACTAGTTTCGATTACAAAATAAAAATAGATATAAAGAGTGTGAGTGTCAAAAGTAGAATGGAAAGTGAGGATACATGGAGAGTGAGGAAGTGTTACAAGTCACAACGACTAAATGTGCGATCAAGGAGGGTTGATGGATGTCCTCGAATTTCCAAAGAGTAAGTGGTGGAGACCTAGAGCATCATCGGGAGTGGGAAACTTGCAGTCAGCCCATGCCCACAGACGAATTCTCCTTATCCAGAAAGATTTTTGAGTTTCTTTGCTTCCATATGTGCCATAGAATAGCGTGAGGAAGCAGAACAAACTCATTGGGAAACATGCAGCTTTCACATAGAAACTTCCACATATGTAGAAGAAGATGATCTGCAGTTTCTTTCAAAGCAAAACACATACAACAGTAATTTGACAAGTACCAACCTCAGAGCTTTAGTTTATCATGAGTTAGAATCTTTCCTTAGTCGGTTGTCCAAAGAAAAGCCGATATCTTTGTTGGTGCCACTAGGTTCCAAATGCATCTTTCTAGAAATGGTTCTTCTAAGCCAGGAAACATACCTTGGTTGATGAACTCGTAACAAGAACGCACACAGAACATATTATTTGGAAGAAGAGAATGAAGCTTGTCTTATGTTCCGAGCAACCAAGAATGAGGGATTGTGATAATATGGTTGCTGAATTGTTGTTGGGTTCTTAACAAAGCGCCTCTGAAAGTATATTTAAAATGGACATTCCATGCGAATGAGTTGTTGGAGAACTGGACAACATCTGCAAGTGTGATGTTTTTGTTCATTGTCGCGGAGAAAAGCTTGGGGAAAGTGGTAGCCAACTTGTACCATGACATCCAAGTATCATTCCAAAAAGAGATGGATGAACCTGTACCTGGTTTCACAACACTACACTTCCAAAAATACCGCTCCACTTTGATAATACGACGCCAAAGAGAGGTGCCCATTATTCTTGTCGTACTCTGCAGATTCCACGAGGTAGTGTGATAGCCAAACTTTGAGGCAATTAGAGTTCTCCACCATGCTTGCTGATATGAGTACTAGCACTTGAGTCATTTACTAGAAGAGAAATGTTGAAAAAGTGAACATCCTTGAGGCCAAGCCCTCCTATAGAGCGAGTAGCTTTTGTGATATTCCAAGCAACCAAATGATATTTGTTGCTTTCTTCAGCTCCTGACCATAGGAAGTTCTTTAGGATTTGTTCTAGTTTTGTGATTACTGAAGATGGAGCAAGTAACAACGAGAAGTAATTAACTGCTAAGGAAGTTAGAGTGCTTTTGATGAGAATCAAGCGGCCACCAAATGAAAGCGATCTACCTTTCCAAGAGGATAACCTCCTAGAAATATTGTCCACCACTAGAGTACATGTAGAGGAGGAACTCGGATGAGCGCCAAGTGGCAGTCCAAGATAGATTGCAGGTAGCTA